AGCAGACTGCATCTCTTGTTTAGAAAGGGCCTTTTTCACTTCACAATTATGCCCATTAATAGTGTGGTATTTCTGAACAACAATTTTATCAACTGTATCATGATCATCAAAAGTTACAAAAGCAAATCCTCTCTTTTTTCCACTCTGCCGGTCTTCTATAACTTCTATGGTTTCAATCTTGCCATATTTTTCAAAGTAGTCTCTCAAATTATATTCTTCTGTATCTTCTTTAATACCACCAACAAAAATTTTCTTCACTGTTAGATGGGCTCCTGGCTTCACAGAATCCTCTCTAGAAACCTCTCTCTTTGGTTCCACAACACGTCCATCAACCTTGTGGGGTCTAGCACACCTGGTTGCATCCACCTCTTCAACACAAGAATAAGTCACAAAACCGAAGCCCCTGGAACGTTTTGTCTGAGAATCTGTCATTACCACACAATCTGTGAGTGTGCCCCATTTCTCAAAATGTTCTCTTAAACTATCATCTGTAGTTTTGAAGCTCAGACCACCAATAAACAGCTTCCGCAGCTGCTCTGGTTCCTTTGGATCATGGCCCTCCTCCCCCCGGTGACGGCAGCGACGGCCAGAGTCAGGCTGGGGGCGACCAGGCGGCGGTTTTACCTACATTTTGAGACCGGACTCGCCTCTTCCAACTCAAGTTCAATATGGGACCGAGAGGAAGAGGCCGAGGGTGCATAATTTTGAAATATATTTTGAAAGGGTATAAATTTGATTGAAAGAGATGGTTTGCAGCTATGAAAATTGAACAAGGAAGCATGTTGAAATTGTTTTGGGATGGTAGGAAGGGGAGAAGGGGGAAAGGAAATTGATATAAGGGGTGAGATTGATTGGGACATATTTTAAACATGTCTGGAAATATAGCAGGTGTGAGCTACTGGTGCCCTGCTCTTTTTTATTTGTATATGAAATTACTCTCCCTTCAAGAATGCTGATACAGTTAATTCCCCTCATTAGAAAATAAAGTTCTAGCTTTCTTTGTTTGTATGAGCTTTCTTCTTTTATGTATGTGTGGTACCAGGGTTTGAGTCTAGGGCGTAAGGTTTGCAAAGTGGTGCTCTATGGCTTAAGCCACAACCCAGCACTGATGCATGTAACTTTAAAGACATTTTTACATGTAGCTATTACAGCCTTGACACTGAAGACTTTACCTGCTCAAGGAGAGTTCTCCATTAGACCTCCCTTGTACCGGATCCTCTTTATACATTCGTGTTCCGTAGAAATACCAGTAGAGTGCCCCTGAATTGTCTTCCCCTAGAGGTTCTACACGGACACTGTCTGCATCCAGACTCTTGGCAGAAAAGGAAGGAGGGTTGGGGAAAACAATGAACTAAATAAATGGAAGAAAACTTCAATACACGAACCTATCACCTGTTTCAAAATGCCAAGTACAGGATATCATTTTTCCATCTGGGCAGATAAAACACAGAATGGGATGGGGGTACCTTCTTCGAAGAACAAGATATAGAAATGCTTGAAATGTTCCTTACCCCAACCACGGCTCCCACCCCTCCAAAAATGGAGAATTCCAATGAATGGTCTGACTACCTGGTTTAGATTTACTTTATACATACACAAAAGGTAGTGGGTAGGATAAGATGTTCTAAGGGTCTGTCCCATGTAATCCACTATGGAAGCTCAGTCAGAACCCACAGCAACATTCTGCTCCAGCTGAGACTCCCAATTTACCCCAGGGCCTGACCTAGGCTGGAGTCCTGAACGAAGACTACTTCTAAATGACACGACCAAGAAAGGACTAGAAGTCATCACCAGGTCTAATCCTGTATGACCCGGACACCTTCCAGCCGGGCATCAGTGGCTCATGCTGTCATCCCAGCTACTCAGGAGGCTGAGGTCTGAGGATCATGACTCAAAGCCTGCCCAGGCAGGAAAGGCCATGAGCCTCTTTATCACCAATTAACCACCAAAAAGCCAGAAGCAGAACTGTGGCTCAAGTAGTAAAGCATTAACCTTGAGCAAAACAAAAACAAAACAAAAAAGGCTCAGGGACAATGTCCAGGCCCTAGTTCAAATTCCTACCACACCCTCCAAAAAAAGATCCAAGAGCTCTTATGTCTAACTAACCACTAAGAGATAGAAGCAGCACTGTGGCTCAAGTGGTAGAGCACTAACCTTGAGCAAAAAAGCTTAGGGACAGTGTCTAGGCTCTGATTTCAAAGCTCCATTCTCAACTACTGGGTTTTTACTTCGCTAGAGAAAGGGCTTTCAGGGAAGCACCTTGAGTAGATCGAAGACATCATCTGCATCTAGCTGGTAATCACAGAGGTGGTGCAGAATCTCCACAAGGGTAGGAAGAGGCAGGTCTTGGAAACTGGCTTCTCTCAGGGGGTTGGGTTTCCCCTCCTCAAGCTCCCAGCGGTAGTTGATAATGTCTTCCAGGTAGCTGTGGAATGTCTGAGGCCTACCCATAAGGCCCAGACAAAAATACACAAAAAATGTACACAAAGCTGTGGCTTGAGAGCTGATAAACTTATCAATGGCAACAAGGAGGATCTGACGGTCTTGGCTGCTTTATGTATTAGACCAACTACATGAAGTTCCAAAGAAGATAAACGTGTCCTAAGAGCTCCCCACGGAGAACTCTTAAAACACAGGCAGCAGCACACGCAAGTCAACAGCAAACTACGAAGTAGAGACAACTGTCTAATCTTTTGCTCATCCTATTTATTTATTTATTTATGCATGCATGCATGCATGCGTGCGTGCATGCGTACATGCCAGGCCTGGGGATTGAACTCAGGGCCTGGGCATGGTCCCTGAACTTCTTCTGCTCAAGGCTAGTCCTCTACCACTTGAGCCACAGTGCTATTTCTGGCCTTTTCTGTGTATGTGGTACTCAGGAATCGAAATGCATGCTAGCTAGTTACCTGTTTCTTATAGCAAAGAAACCAAGACAGAACAGTAGAAAGAGAATGAAAACAAGGATGAGTCAACTGCTTTCTAACACCCAAGGTTAGCTACTTGATAGAAGTCAGCAAAGAGCTCTTCAGCCAGCTTCAGACAGAAGACACTTCCCTTCTATTGGCCAGCCCACAGACAGAGGCAGAGGGCTGGGGTACTGGCCGTTTTTAAGGGTCAGCTGGCTGGAACTGGCAGAATTCATGACTAGGCAAAGCAACTGATTTAACAGCTGCAATTTGTTTGGGATATCATAGAAAAAAGGCAGCTACTCTTAGAAGCACATGTCAGGGACATGAAAAGGTATCCAGTCTCCTTACTAGGTAGTAATTAAGGCAAAGAACCATACACAATGCAGACTAAGTGAAAAGTAGAATCGCCTCCTTCAACACGCTTCAAGCATTTGTGAGGCTTAACTAATGCATGCACATGATTGATGAGGCCATATTTAGCAGGAGTTCTTGTAAATCAGCAAGTAAAGAGGTTGTATAAGATAATCTGAGGCCTGTGGTAGAGTGCAGCAGTGCACCATCCCCAGTACTGGAGCCACAGCCACTGACTGACAGTGTCTATCCTTTATCTGTGTGGGTAGATGTGAATCCTGAGGCTTGAACTCAGGACCTGGGGGTGCTGTCCTTGAGCTTTTTTGCTCAAAGCTAGGGCTCTACCACTTGATCCACAGTTCCACTTCTGGGACTTTTACTTGTTAATTGGAGATATAGAGTTTCATAGGTTCCTACCTAGGCTGGCTTGATCTGCAGATCTCAGACTCCTGAGTTACAGGTACCCAGCTTGAAAGTGTTTCTTCTTTAAGATCACAGAACCTAGGCCAAAATAGCTAACAGATCTTTTGTTTTGTTTTGGACAGGAATTTACAATGTAGCTAAGCCTGTGGATGAAATCTGAGGATCATGGTTCAAAGCCAGCCCAACAGAGAACCTGAGATTCTTATCTAAAACAAAACAAAACAAAAACAGCAAAAAAATCCTAGAGGGAGGTATGGCTCAAGGCATACAGCACCAGCTGTGAGCTAATCTTAGGA